AACAGAGCAAGAGTATGATACAAGGGAGAAAAGAAAAAAAAGACCATTTTTTAGGCCAAGGACATTTTGCATATTAGACTATTGGGGCTTGTAGAATTTTCTATAACTGTACCCTGATTTGATATGAAATGTTTTTGCCAATGTGCAAATTTGAAAGTGCAACCGTAATAGGAATTTACCACAAAATACAATAATGTACAGCTTTAGAGTTACTCTGGATTATGTGTAAAACAGTACTGCTATTTCAAAAGAAACTACATGGATCAATATAAGAGAGGCAAAATTTATCTTCATGTTTGGTCTTCTTCTTTTGCCTTTAACTTTACTGAAGTACCAGTTGAAAATTTTAGAAAATAAAGGTCATAGTGACCAAGGATTTTAGATAATTTAGAACACTTGCTTAACCCCATCAATAAATCCTCCTGGCTCTTCCACCGAAATAGACCCAAATCGGTTCATTCCTCTTGTGTCCATTATTATCATCCAAGCCAATCCAACATTACCTCTCACCTGGACTTCTGTATTAGTTTTCTAATTTGCTGACTATAGCTGAAAGGAAAGATTTGCTATAATTGTTCAGATGAGATCAGATTAGCAGTTGAGACAATTTAGATTTTGAATAAAATAAAGGAAACTCGGCTATGTTTTACAATAAGAGCCTCTTCGTTTCATTAGAATAAAAGCTAGGGCCAAAAAGTGGTTATTGGGTAGTCCACTACCACAGGGAAGAATAGAGCTTTAGTTTGAACTATTTCAGAAAATTATAGAAGGTAGTTACTGTCAGATTTTTTAAGATAAACCACTGAGAACCAAGTGCCTTTCAACTAAATAGTAAGTCAGATTTTTTAAGATAAATCACTGAGAACAAGTACCTTTCAACTAAGTATTAAAGTAGCTCAAGAGGGAAATTGTTGCATTCTTAGCAATAAGAATAAATTGTCATCATAAATAGCTGTTGTCTCAGACTAATAGACTAATAGAGTACAAATATGATACACAGAGAGTAAAATCCAATTTTAACTTTATGATGGCAAGTGTTATTTTTCTTTATTTTCCACATTTACTAGAATGGGCTTCTGTTGTTTACATGATCAGGGAAAAATGTTTATTATTATTTTAAATAGAATAATACAGTTTGGTTCCTTGCTTTGAAGTCACTTTTATCTAAGGAGGGGATTACAGGTACAAATTTTATTATGCTGCAAGGCAGCTAGGACAGTTTGTAAGAGCTGCCATTAGTCTTTAGGTGAGGTTGCATGTTTTATACAAAAGAGTTACTATTTTTATTTGGGAAAAGAAAACAATTTGAAGGTAAAGAGATTATAAGAATTAAAAGCACAGGTGAAAAGATTAACCTTGGCAGGAAGGAAGGTCTGTCTTTAAAAACAAACAAACAACAAAACCCCATCCCACACATTATTATTTATTGAAAAATTTTACGGTACGTATTCTAGTCTTAGGTCTTAAAGTTGGAAGCTGAGTTAAATTATAAACTAACAAAGGCTCTAGTAGGGGCAATACAGATTTATTTACATAAGCTCCTGGAATACTTTAAAGCTTGAAGGATCAGCTTGAAATAGATAAGGGAAACAATGACATATTTGGTATAGATGAAAGCATGAGATTAAAAAAAGTATATAAATTACTGGTCAGCTTTAAAACTTCTTTTATTGTATTAAAGTGAACAGTGAATCAGGCAGCCTTATTACTCTTCTACTAAAGAGATCTTTGTTTTATCTGATTTTTCTAGAAAGGGCAATATGTTTCTTCTAGGTTTGTTTCTACTTTATAAAGTAGAAAACAAAGTAATTGGGTTAGCAAAGAGAATTATGTTAGGGATACTTTTTTAAAAAATGCATTCATACATTGTTAAGAACATTTAAAAATTTTTACAGTATCTTGAGTAAAGCCAAGACATAGTTAAAATGTAAGTTCTTTATTTAAATCACTTTTAATTTATAAATATTAATTATAAAATAATTTTGAAGAAACAGAAATGAAGGGAAAATACCTAACTTCACCATCCTAAAATAACTACTTAGGACTTTTATATATTTTCTAATACTCTTACTTGTGGACATTTTTATATTTTTTTAAATATAAAATATGCTGAGAAGCATTATACAAGTTGTAAATGAGAATTAGTAAAATTCAAAGATGAAAAAATAAGAGTCTGTGCCCTAACGAGGTTAACTGCTCTCATACTCTAAAGTCAAAATATACCCTGAGCTTCTGAATGGGTTATTTTACTCCTTGGGTTTTTAAGCCTTGTAGAACCTGGGATAAAATTCTTAAACTTCCCAGTTTACTACAGAATTAGGTAAGAAGGAAGAGTCAGGATCTTACAGTAAAATAAATACTTAAATGCTTGTTGGGAACTTGAAGTTAGGTTTTAACCCAAGTTCTACCTTTGAAATGACTTCACTGAACTTCAAACATATTGACCTTTAAATGAATGAGTTCAGTTCACAGACTGTTAATCTGAACCTAATATGTCTAAGTTATGTGCTGTGCTTCTGGGGTATCCTTAGGTTAGATTCTTGACAAACCAAATGACCTTTGTCTAGTATTGATTGTATCCCTCCAAGCTGGTTCTCAGTGTAACAAGCTTCCCTGGCTTCTTGGTATACGTCACGTGTATTTATAGTAGAGGTTCCAGCCCATCCTAAGAGGGGACTCCAATTTGATACTTCCGTCAGACCAGCTTTTATGGTATGCACTCATAGAATACTGATCGGTTCTCTGAGTTGAAGATTGTTAAGAACGGGGCCCAGACAAGAATTAGAGCCTCTGAATAATAAAAAGCTTACAACAGTAACCTGTAAAGCTGAAGACTTGTAGCACTTCCCTTAAAGAATTAGTTTGATAGTTTGACTCCAATAATAGAGAATTATGGTTGACTTTGTAAATTTTATCTCTTCCCAGGTCCTTTTTGGCTTTGAATTATCAGGATGACTACTACAATTTTAATTCTTTGTTTTACAAATAATTAATACTTACATATTGTTTATTATGTGTCAGGCATTGTTTACATTTATGAAAGGTGCATACAGTAATTTTCTCAAGGACACACAGCTAGTAAGTTGCTGAGTCAGGATCAACTTGTGAAAATATGACTTTAGATTCCTCACTTGACCACAACACAATGACACTTTAAAAGTATAAAGCTTTCTGACAAAAGACTTGGGTCAAGAATATATAAAGAACTTCTAAAAATCAATAATATAAGCATAATAAAAAAAATGACCAAAGACTTAAAAAGAGGATGGCGTATAAATGGCCCATGGGCATATGAAAAGTTGTTCAACACCATGAGTCATCAGGGAAATTGATATTAAAACCATAATGGTTTGCCACTATAAACTCGCTATAATGAGTAAAATTTAAGACTGGAAACACCAAATATTAGCAGGGATATGGAGCAGCTGAAATTATCATGCATTACTTTTGGGAATGTATAATGATAGAACCACTTTGGAAAACAGTTTGTTAAATTTCTTTGATAGCTAAACATACTATCCTGTAACCCATCAGTTCCATTCTTCCATATTAAGAGAAATGAAAGCAGTATGTCTACAAAAAGACTTGTACAAGAATATTTATGTAACAGCTTTATTCAGAATAGTCAGCAACTAGGAACAATCCAAATGCCCATCAATACAAGAAACAAGTGAATTGTGATTTATTTATTCAGTGAAGGACTACTTAGTAGTAAAAAAGAGTGAACTAATACAACAATATAATGAGTCAAATAAGTCAGACAAAAAGGGTACAAATGGTGGTTCTGTTTGATTACATGGGTATTGAAGGCCCATAACAGTCAAAGCTAATTATTTGTTTGGAAACAGAACAGTGGTTACCTATTTGATGGATGGGAGGCTTAAGGGAATTTTCTGGAGTCATGAAAATGTTCCCTGTCTTGATTATCATGTTGGTTATACAGATGTGTACATTTGTCAGAAATTGTTGAATTTTATATTTAAGATCAATATGTTATTGTATGTAAAGTATAAATATGTAAAGCAAAAAAAAATCAACTAGGGGGAGATTTTAGACAAGCACTAGGACAATAGAAATGACACTGGCAAGCTAACACTTGGAACATGCAAAGACACTAAGTAGCACAGAACTGTTAAATAGAACCTCAGTTGATATTCATAGTAACCAAGACAAGTTTAAGTTATATTTAATACAATTTTCTAAGAAGTTATCAAGGTATACTACTTTTAGAAAGGATTTCATTAATAATTATTATATTAAAAGTTTGGAACTAAAATGCTTAGATGTCAGTAATCTAAAATATTACTTTATGTGACACATTTCTTAGATTTTACGTAAAGAACAGTTGTGGTTAATATTAGGAAATGATTCCGGCTAGAACTAGAATGTGGTCTCTTTAGAGACTGCTAAAAAGAGAGCATGAAAAGTTTCTGTAGATGAATTTGCTTGATAAGTTCTTGAAATAGAACATTTGTCTTTATATGAACTGTGATTTAGATTCCCAGTTGTTAGAAGAAATAAAAAATGTGGCTTCTGTACTGTGTTTGTTTCAGCACTTTAGAAATGTTAGAAACTTAGGTCATAATTAAATGTGCTAAAATATAGCAGTAATTTGTCCTGATTATATTGCAACAGGTGGACATAAATAGACAAGTTTGATGGTGGCCTGTATAGTTTCACAATATTTGTCTCTGGGGTCCTTTATAACTTCTTCCATGGCAATCAGATGTGTTTCAACTACTCAAATGAATTGAAATACAAGATCTGCAGTCTTTTGTTATAAGGTTAGTCTTCAAAATGAAGGTTAACCTTTTAAGTTAGTTAGTTTGTGGTTTTTTACCTCTTTCAAGTAGGTTACTTTGTGGACTGTCATGGAAGTAGGAAACATTTTAGTTACCACACATTAACTAATGTGGTCTTTGATTTCTCAAATAAGACTGACAGCTTGGCTGTTTCTTGTTTATAGAAAACCTAATTTCTAATCTTTACATCTGTTTTAGTAATAGTTATGCACGAGTGCGAGCTGTGGTGATGACCCGGGATGACTCAAGTGGTGGATGGTTACCACTTGGAGGGAGTGGACTAAGCTGCGTCACGGTCTTCAAAGTCCCTCACCAGGAAGAGAATGGCTGTGCTGACTTTTTTATCCGTGGAGAGCGACTCAGGGACAAAATGGTAATGAATACTATACCTACTGCTATAATTTTAAGATTCTATAGAATGAATTATCTACTTAAAGTTTTGATTAGAATTGCCCAGGATCAGTGATTATGTTTCTAAGCTCTTTTAATCTTAAAGACAGTGAAATATGCCTGTTTCTTTGCAACTGAGACTCATGAATGTATATGTGTTAGAAAGGAGCTCCATTTTTTATTAGATATAATACATGTATAGTCCCCCCAGTTATTAAACCAGGTACAATCTGCCTTTCCTTCTTTCTCACTCTCCCTTAGACTAGTGGTTGATAAACTGTAGTCCACCAGGAATATCCAGGCCTGCCACGTGTTTTTGTATGACCCATGAGTTAAGAATGGTTTTTACAGGGCCCCTGGGTGGTTCGGTCGGTTAAGTGTCTGCCCTTCGCTCAGGTCATGGTCCCAGGGTCCTGGGATCGAGTTCCGCATCGGGCTCCTTGCTCCTTCTCCCTCTGCCTGCCATTCCCCCTCCTTGTGCTCGCTCTTGCTCTCTCTCTCTGACAAATAAAATCTTAAAAAAAAAAAAGCAACAACTTCTTCAAGTTTAAAAAAAAAGAATGGGGGGCACCTGGGTGGCTCAGTTGTTAAGCATCTGCCTTTGGCTCAGGTCATGATCCCGGGGTCCTAGGATCGAGCCCCACATCAGGCTCCCTGCTCTGCGGGAAGCCTTCTCCCTCTCCCGCTCCTGCTTGTGTTCTCTCCCTGCTGTGTCTCTCTCTGTCAAATAAATAAATAAATCTTTAAAAAAAATGATTTTCACACTTTTTAATGATTGAAAAAAATTTGAAGAAGAGTAATAATTTTGTGACACATGAAAATTACATAAAATTCAAATTTCAGTGTCCATAAATAAAGTTTTTTGCAACATAGCCCTTCTTTTACATTTTGTCTTTGGCTGCTTTCATACTACAATGACAAGTTGAGTATTTTCAGTAGAGACCATAAGTATCTGGACCCTTATAGAAAATTTTACTGGCTCCTACTCTGGAGTCTGTTTTCTCAGGTTCTTTCTCTTCATTCTCTATTAATCTAGTTATTCTAGGCTCATAAGACTACCTGGTTGCCAGACTAGGTTTTAACACTACTGTCTTCTACCCAGATGAGTGTTTTCTTCCATCTATGTATTTTAAAATTTGAATCTAAACTTTGATAATGTTAAATATTTACTCTCTTTTAATTGGTGTGGAAAGCTCTTTTTTATTTGTGAGCCAAAAAACAACTGCAATCAGGATACCTGAAAAGCTGAGTAATGTTAATGTCATTTCTGCATCAAGCAAAAGGAAAGCATACACTTAGAAGCAGAATTAGAATAAAATGCCAAAAATTTCCAAGACTCTTAAAAATAACTAGAATTCCCTTTAAATATGTAATTGTGGACTAGTTTGTAAGCCCATTTAGTTAGCATCAATAATGTTATTTCTATTGAAAATGTGTTTTAAGTTCCAAAAAATTCTTTCAATACATGAACATTTTGATTAAATCTACTTTTAATTCTGGTTTGGTTTCTGGATATTTTTTATTACTGAATTATTTTAGTAATTTAGAAAGTTGCCCAACTTGTCTGTCCCCCAGTTTCTGCCTCAGTTAAATGGAGAGTTACCCTAAATCCTCTTGAAAGCTTTCCAACTCTGTTTTTTGAGTTTATGATTCGTTCCTGATAATGTATCTCAATTAACCAGAATGTGGTTTTAGGATTGTAGGAAATCCCAGTTGAAGTCATAAGTGTATATAAGAAATTTAACATGTCATCTCTAAAAGTTTAAATATTTAAGGGTGGTTTTGAGTTTGCATAAGATGGTAGATGGCATATACTAACACTTATTTAAATAAGCCTTGTAAACTTCTAAGAAAGAGCCTATGGTGACCTGTCCTGGAGTTTATGCTTCTTGTCTGAGCTAATAATAATGGGAATGTTGTTGGAGGAGAGGTTGTAGATTTTAGGAACTGAGTGAAATAGTGAAGATTTAAGGCATGTTTTAGCTTTGTAAAAAGAAGAGAAAGGAAGACAGAAGTCAAAGGTGGAGAAAGAGTTGGAGAAAAAAGCTTGCTAAAAAAGCATAAAAACAAGGAAAAGATGACCTAGATGAGAAGTAGAGAAAAGGAATAATCAGAGTGAAACAGATTATTAGTTATATTAATGAAGGTGGACAGTTTACTTCAGGATAATTAAATATGGGACCAAGTCTGCATTAACTAGGAGTGAAAGCTCTGATTGATGGATTAGGTGGTTACTCAGAGTGTGGCTTTGACATAAAGCTAGTGAGAATAAAACGGATTCAGAAAGAACACACGGAAACTTACTTCATTATGTCAGGAGTTAATTTGAGCCCATAACCTAATCCTAGGGTAGAGAATCATAATAGACCAACAAGAAAATAGGTTTTTCTGATAGAGGCACTGGACCCAGGAATCAGAACATCTGTTGTTTCACCTGACCATTTTGCCTAGAAGAAACTTATTTGTGAAACATGGATGATAACTATATCTCTGTGTAGACATAAAAGACAAATTACTTTGAGTTGGAGGGTTGCCATTTTTCTTGTAGGGATTAGCCTATAGTAAAGAGTTTTAGGTGAGGGGGACTTGTGTGATCAAAGGCAGAGGCAGTAATGCATGGCTATAAATTGAAAACAGCAAAGTCTTATGGAATCTCAAGATAAATGGGACAGGAACATTGAAATAAGCACATTATTTGGCCCCCTCTCTTGGGTTTGCACATCTGACCAGGATAATTCTGAAGCAGTAACCGAACTGAAGTATATATCTTTTTCATTATCACTGTAATTTGGGATCATTAATGTCCTTATCTATAGATATTTTTATTGATTGGTTTTATTTTAATCCATTTTTCTGGATTCTAGTTTCATGATTTATCTAAAAAAGAAGTAGTACTTTATGACTGTCGAGTCTATAATTTTACAAAGTTCTTCCCAAGTTGATGGTTTTCTTTAAAATCCTTGGTGAATAAACTGCAGTTAACCATGCAGTAGTTAATCATGTAAAAGATACTTGGTAAAAACTGTTCTGTACCCATTTCTTATGTGAGTCACATTGTAGAATCATCTACCTTAGATGAATTACAGAAATGAAGTGAGATCCCTGCCTTTCGTACCCTCTAAGAAAACTTGTGCCCTTTAAGAAAGGATTGATAATTAGTAATCTGAGAACACTTGTGTAGCTTAATAAAGAAATACTAGATAATACTTTAAAGAGTGTATATAAGTCAGAATACTGGTTAACAATAGTGAAGAAGAAAGATGGCTTTTCTCAAAGGTAAAAGAAGCACTTTGGTAGAAGACTTTTTCCAGTCTTTGATTTATAGTTACTTGTACTAAAAATGTCTTGTTACACTTCCCAAACGGTTATAGTTCACTTTTTTTTTTTTTTTTTTTTTTACAAGAAAGGGAGCACAGATAAAGAGCAGGCTGACTGGGATTTTTTCAGGAAGGCAGGCTTTTGTGCAATGAGGTCATTCATTCCTTCATTCAGAGGATCAGAAATTATTTCCTATAATGCTTACCTGTAACTTGCCTGTTTTTCTGATGCTTACACAGGTGGAATTTATTTCTGAGGCTACCCTTCCTACTCTAAATTAGAGCTCCTGAATAGGTCAAAGTTCAGGCTGCTTGCCTCTTCACCCCTAGCAGTTCCTCCTCTTTCCAGGTTGCCTTACAATCATTATTTTTCTAAGCATGCCTGAGGAAAAGGTTGGAAAGTTCTTCTCTACATTGACTTTCATACTTTATTGGTGATTGAGAAGGAATTCAAAAGAAACACCAGGTTTTGGTGTTATAGCCCAAGATAATGAAAGACTACCTTTCATTAGGTAATAAGGACACTTGGGGATGGGTGGAATGGTTTTGACAAGGATGGATTCTCAGAACTCCTTTTTTTTTTTTAATTTATATGAATTATAGCCTCCATTTCCTTCTAAATCTTTACAGCCTTGATTTCTCCAATAAAAGCTGGTGTTCTCTTGGATCACATTTTTAGAAATGCTAACTAAAATTTAACTGTTAATTTGGGTAGATAATCTTCACTGTAGAGCTTCACATTTCCCATGATAGAAACTTTCTCTTTTGAATTCAATTTTCACTAGATACAGTGACCTTTCTGTTAATATGACACTCTTTCTTGATAGGCAAACATCTTATCGGAGTGTTTACCATATGTATAGATTGTATTATTTGACCATTTAACTAAATTGCATGTGATATATAAATTTGAACACTGAATTACAATATACCTTTAGAGGCTTTATGAGTACTTGAATAAACTATTAGTAATATTTAAAATTTTGCTAAAATATTACTAAAAACAGTTTTTAATTATGGGATTCTAAAATAACTATTTAAAGTAATTTTATGTAGTAGACAATAAAAATACTACAAATTTACTAATTTAAAGGTATTATGCTTTTAAAAGCTTATTATATACTAAGAGATAACAAGAAATAGGGTAGGCTATATAGAAAGATAAAGTAGGACTCTTAAAACATCTGGATTACTTAAAACATTCTGTGGAAACAAGAAAAAGGCACTGTGCTATGTCAAAGCAAAGTTAAAGATATCATTATAAGCTTAGAGTGACAAAGTAATATTAAAATGAAGAAAGGAAAAATAAGAAACATGTCAAGTTTTAAGAATTTGCCAGAGATTTAAGGAATTGTTTTTTTGATAAGTAAGTTGTGGATAAAAATGATTATAAAAGTTAAAATGCCTAGATGATAATAGTTCTGTTGTTTAAAAAGACACATTTTTAAAATGGGGTTTCTTTCCAGATAGTAGAGACTAAAACAAAATTAGAGTGTTTATTTTCTAGGAAGAAAATAAAGTAGTTAAAATATAGCAGTGGCTTTTTTAAAAAATGAAACTTACCCACTCTCCACCATTGGAAACCTTAGAAGATCAGGGATCATCTTTCTGCCTTGGATTAAACTTTATAAAAGTACAGAACAACAATTTTCTGCTTAGCCTTTCC